GGACTTGTTTTTCCAGCACATCCCACAGATGCTCAACTGGATCGAGAACTGGAGAATTTGGAGGCCAAGTCAACACCTCAAACTTGTTGTTGTGTACCTCAAACCGTTCTTGAGACATTTTTGCAGTGCAGCAGGGTGTATTATCCTGCTTAAAGAGGCCACTGCCATCAGAGAATACCCTTTCCAAGAAGGGGTGTCCTTGATCAGCCACAATGTTTAGGTAGGTGGTACGTGTCAAAGTAACATCCACATGACTGGCAGGACTCAAGGTTTCCTAGCAGTACATTGCCCAAAGCATCAAACTGCACTGCGATCACTTCACCTCTCAGTGGTCATAATGTTATGGCTGATCAGTGTATATTTTGACAGGTATTGGGTATTGGCAAACACATGCTTGCTTAAACAAGCTCTTAGAGAGTACATAGAATCCTTCTAATCAGTCATGGCATTTTGTGACTTGTAGTTCCTCACTAGACTGTGCAGATGCTTTGGCTAGACAACTGAGCATATTTGCTTTCAAGGAACTTAAGTAAAGGCTTGAGAAACTGGCTGCATTGCTTACCTCATAATAAGTAACTGCCTAGGGCAGAGTGTTGTTTTCTTAGCTTAGCTTTCCAAATCCAGCAGGTATTTACCATTTCACAGTGACTAATGAGACATTCCCACAGCACAATATGCTTGTAGGTGGCCGTGCTCATGAAGAATACTGACTTCTCACATTCTTTTCATTGTTACTAAATTTGGATGAGAAAATCATTTTACAACACGCCAAAGCAAGGCCAGAGCATATTAAAAAGTGATATATTAGCATTGCCCCCTGCTGAAGTTCTGTTAACAATTCTAAGCCATTCAGGTCCAAAACTAAAATATTATATATATGCCTGCCTTACTGTATAATCGTGGTCCATAGTTGCTACAGGCATCTTTACCTACACAGTGCAATCTTCCCTTGTGTCTGAATGCTCCTCCTGATTTGCTTACTTGCCTCTGCCAATGCATCTGAATGCTCCTCCAACTTGGCTTACGTGGCTTTTCCAATGAGCCTGAATGCTTCTTCCACTTGGCTTACTTAGCTCTTCCAGTCTGTTTGAATGCTTCTCCCACTTGGCTCTTCCAGTGTGTCTGAATGCTCCACCCACTTGGCTTTTTGGCCTACTTGGCTCCTCCCTTGTATCTGAATGCTCTTCCTACTTGGCTTACTTGGCTCCTCCCTTGTGCCTGACTGCTCCTCCCATTTGGCTTACTCGGCTCTTCCCTTGTGTCTGACTGGTCCTCCCATTTGGCTTAATGTATTACTCGGCTCTACCGTTGTGTTTGACTGCTCCTTCCACTTGGCTTAGTGGTTTGTTTGGCTCTACCATTGTGTCTGAGAGTTCATTCCACCTAGTTTATTAGTTACGGAAAAATAAAACTCCTGTATTGCTTTGGAACCTAATCTGCTGATTTTATTTTAAAGGAGTTCCAGAAAGCGTGTCAAAATTGGGCTGATCCCATTATCTAAATATTATGTCTTCTCATGCAGTCTTAGTTATGTTGGGTCTCTTTTTAAAGTATCCAAGCAGAAATAGGAGCGAGGTGCTGGATATAGAGCCTTGAAAAAGAGGTCCTTAAATGAGACAAATGGCTTAGCTTTGGCAGCTCTTTGCAAAATGGTAACTCCCCAAAGACGGGGGTCAACCAAATTGAGAGATCTACGTACAGTTGAGTCAGAAGGAATGCCAAAGAAACAATCTGAGAGCCCAAAAGTATTTTCTTGGATCCGTCATAGAAGATTGATATATTTATTCTATTTTATCAGTGTTTTTTTTATCAACATGCTCCACATGTATCACTTTTTGTAGCCCTGATGAAGGGGGATTGTCTGGCCGCCTGGCCCCGGAAATGCTTGTCTGCCTTTTGTTTTTCCATCGATTAAATACTTTTAGAACACCAGACCTTCTGTTTGTGGTTCCTTCTGGCTCAACTATTCTTATAAAGTAAACAGATAATGAGAGAAACATGGAAGCTATGATGGCCGAGCTCTCCATCTGAAAATTCTAGTTCTTGGCGGTAATTCTGGCTTTCTTCCTTCAACTCTCATGTTCTTCATTTACAAAAGGGACAGAAACTGTTCACTGAACAGCCTTTACACCTTTAATAAATTAACCCCTTTGAGGGGTTAATTTATCCAAAACAAGTATGGGAAATGTGGACTTTCCTGGAAGTTGCACAAAACTAAAATATGTTTTGGGGGCAGTTGACCTTTCAAGTGTATGTAAAGCCACAAGATTTTTTTCATTTTAGATAGAGTAGGGAAAGGTTAAAACGTAATCAGTTTTTTTTTAGTGCTCATGTCCAGCTGGGGAGACACCACAGGAAATGAGAGGAAATCTATCCAAAGTGAATGGATTTCCCATCTCAGAGAGTTGTCATAGGAATAGATGTCCAAATTGAGGGATTTTTTTTATTTATTTCTTTTTGATGACAACTCAAACATTTTGGATTTTCCATTACTTTGTCTCAGTGACAGTGGTCATACATACAAATAGAGGGGTGAATCACCCCAGCAGGTGTACACGCATAAATGCCGGCATAGGCGTTAACGCGCATACACCCACGTAGAGTGTGTATGTGGCTTCCACTTGGAGAACAACTTTTAAAATACTAAGAAAAGCATACAAAGTAATCCACAATTTTGCTCCAAGCTACATCACGAACCTCATCTCAGAATATTACCCAAACCATCCTCTCTGCTCCTCTCAAGACCACCTGCCCTTTAGCCCACTTGTAATCTCCTCCAATATGCAATTCCAGGTTTTCCCCCAGAACCCCTCCCTTTATATGGAACTCCTTACCCCAATCTGCTCAGCTTTCTCCTACTCTGCCTGCCTTCAGGTGATTCCTGAAAGTTCTTAGTGGAAGTCTTTGCTGTCCTCACCTGAAAATGAAACTTTTACTTTTTCCATTACCTCATCGCGCACAGTTATCACCTTTTGTACCACTTGACCACTTGCAACTACCTTTTAGATGATAAGCTCTCACGGCCAGGACCCTCCTAATCCTCGTATATAAAATTGTATTGTAACTGTACTGTCTCCCTGTATTTTGTAAAGCGCTGCGCAAACTGTTGACGCTATATAAATTATGTAAAATAATAGTATTCAAAAATGGCTTGTGTAGCAATTGAATATGTTATTTTTAACAAACTAGTGTTCCTTAACATGGACATACTCATACATGGAGTCTAATTACTGAGTGTTATGAAGGAATTTGAATTTGTAGCAGACGTGTGCCGACAACGGAGACGTCGCCAATCATCTGCATGACTTGAAGCGCACTTTTGTTTAGTAATAAATACAGCACGGTATAGGAGACTGGTAATAGAGGTAGACACTGTGCTTGGTTCTTCCACTGATTTGTAAGTATCATGTTCAGGACATAATCCAGTCCTGCATGCCTCCATGTTGTTCCATTTCCATGGCAGAGGTTACCTTATGAAAAGTTGAAAGCTAATTCAACCTTTAATTCCATGTTCCAGCCATATTTATTGTGTAACATAGAACATGGTGCTATTCCTCAGCCTCCCACCCTCAAACTGCCCCTCTACCCACTTACATGAATTGCAGGGTGATTCTCCCAACAAGCTTCTGTATATTCTGCCTGCACAGCCACATCATTCATTCACAGATCCCTTCACAGCATCTGTAAATGAAAAACTACAAATTCCATCTGCCACTGTGGGGCATTTGTAGTTCTCGTCACCACACTTATTCTATTAATAACTATTAATAACTTCCTTCAGCTGCATAACAGTATGAACCTTGGGTTGAAGGACAGTACAGGAGCCTGGGCATTGCGCCTGTGATCCAATAATCATGGTTGCAATGCTTTAAGGTCTCTGATGAAAAGAAATAATAAATGCATGTTTTTTTCTGTTTGCAGTATAGGTGCATTTATTCGTTTTTTGTAAAAGGTGGAATATGCCTTTAAGTGCAACAGGCTATTATTGGGTATCTCATATTATCCACAGAGGGTCTTTTAATTTTAAAGGACCTCCATCGTGACAGCAGAAGGAGGTGGAAACAAGGTTGGTCTGGATGAACAACAGAGAAAAGCAAGCAATCAGGAGTCCTCACCACTGCAAGAGGCGGCTTAGGCGGTGTCTGTGGATTCAGATAAATGGTTATGGGTTTAGAAGCCTTTTTTTAACGCCAGATAAGCTAGATATGAAGAGCCTTTTTATGGCAGAGTTGGGCTTTAACATACAAAACAAGGGCAATGCCTACTGTCCCTATTCTCCACGGCGGCATATTGTTAGATGCAAGTCGACAAGGACACAATATGGTATGTTGGGCACAGTAGCTCCTCAGCGCCTAAAGGGCTCACAGGATCCCGGCTTTATTTTAACACATTTGTTTTACAATTGCTATTACCTGCATCTATTGTGTTCTCCTACACTTTCTCATATTTGCAATTTGTATGCAATGTCTCCTTCACGTTTTGTATTCGCTTGAATCACATTTTCTCTGCTTTCTGATGTTTTATGTCCTCATCCTGTCTCCTCTTTCATTTTCTTTCAGCTTTTGTTGAACAGACTCTTTATGTGTTTGCTCTTCTCCTTCCTTCTTTCATCTGCTCGGTTTCTGCTCTGTCCCTCCCTAACAATGTGGCCTCTACAACAAGACAAGATACTTAGGTGAGGTCTCCGCAGCAGTTTTAATCTGATGACACTGCTTGTGCCTCATGAGCGCCGTTTCCTCCATTGCTGGCATAGCTCGTTATTTTCTTGCATTTTCATGTCTCAGAAAATGTGCAAGCCTCGGGTCTCCTTTTCTTACCATTGTCAGGACATTTTTTCTGATCATTTAAGAAAAAAAATGTTTCAAGATATTTGTAAATGTGTTGACATTTTTAAGCTTTAATCCAGTGTGGTATGCAGCGATGCTTTGAAATCAGAGATGGGCTTGCGCCTGTATGCATTGTTCCAAGCAATGTTATGATTTTGTGCTCTTCCTTTCCAGGTTCTTCCACATGACAGCAAGGCACGGCGGCTCTTTGTAACAAGTGGCGGACTTAAAAAAATTCAAGAGATCTCGGCGGACCCTGGCTCACCTCTTCAAGAGTACATCAGCACTATCAATAATTGTTACCCCGAGGAGATTGTCAGGTACAGATAGATGTTCAGTACACTGGAAATTATTCTTTGCTGTACAGTTAAAGCAAAGCATGTGGCAGGTAGCCAGTTTAGAAGTAATAATTATGCTCGCTAGTAGCATATACCTGAATGCTTTTTCTTTCCAAACATATGTATATTCCCTCTTAGTAGCAATTTTCCACTTAGTCAAAGAAAATCTTCACTGCCAGCTATTTGCATGTAAACTGAATGTGTAACATAACAAATTCACAGAGCAATTTCACAAGAAAACAATCTCCTTTTTGATAAAAGCACTTAGGGACTTCGGTAAGAATGCACGCTAACAAGAACATTTCTTATAGCCCATAGCAACCAGAATCCTTGTTTAAACCCTGTAAAGATAGAAGTTAAAACAAACTTTAAAGGAGAACTATGGGGTCAGGGCTTTTCCCCATAGTTCTCCTAAGGGTCACGGGAGAACACAAACTAGCGTCCTCCCGTCACCCAAAGCTCAGTATATAGTGAGCTACAGCTCGCGGTATACTGAGACGCCGCAGCCGGACCGGGTTCCGACATTGCTGTCGACATCCACCAGCTGTTTCATTGTCACAGGTCGGCTCAGGTTATGAGGCTGAGTGAAAATCGCCTCATAATTCTCCTGTAACCACATGCATGAGCTAATGCAATTAGGCTACACCAGAATCATAGTTCTCCTTTAATGTCTGAACCCAGTTTTCTCCAGCGCTCTTCTTTTTATGTTGTTTCTATGGGCCCTTATATCACAGTGTGGGGGCAAAGTGATGGGAGCTTGCGATTGAGTATGCTCCTGATACAAAACATCAATGCATATATGTGGAAGCACAGAATAAGGCCAAGCTCCATGCTCCAACATATATGCATATGGCCAGCAGGAAGGAGTTAATTTTTCAACTTTGAGCTGCAACTTTTTCAACTTCAAACAACAAAATTAGATTGCAACAGCGTTCTAAAGCCAGACCACATAACAAGCTATAGGAATTTTCACTCTCTGTCTACTGTACTGAATTCCCAAGCAGCATTATCAGCCCTGCCTTAGTTCTTCCCTGCTGGACTACAGAACACTCCCCTGTTGCATTATGGAGAGGGGAGGTGTTCTGCTGTTCAGCAGGGCTGACAACACTGCTTGGAATTTCAGTACAACAGAGGCAGCTCACTACAGAAAATTGTGAGCTCACTGGATTTCTGCAGGATTATCAGGTATTTTTCTGTATTTGCAGTGTAGAAGAAACATTAAACATGTGCATGTATTGCATATGTGCTTTTTTTTACCAGGCATACCCTTTAAATCTCATTGTAGCTCTTATTATTTTGTGGCAGAATTGACATTGGCATCTGATTGGTTGCTAACGGCAACAAGAAATGTTCTTACTAGCACAATTTTCATACATATGCTATTTAGTTAGTATTGAATGGTAGCAGCTTGACACTTTCCACTACAGTCCTCCTTCAGTGCTGAAGATGTTCTGCCACTCATACACAAGTGTGACCAACTACTACTAGCTTTACTGTGAGATGGATAAATGAGAACCTTCAGAGACATATTGAATAGAAGGTATTATACGGTGCCCTAGCATACCTTTATTTCTTAATAGTGCATTACAGAACACAGGATGGTATATCTGAACCATGAGTTATACTGCCACCTTCAGGAGATTGAATACAGGAAATGCTGTAAGGACAGCCCTGTTTAACCCCTCCCACTCCCAGCAAGCCTCAGTTATTTGCTAGTGTCCTTAGGAGAGTGGATGTCTTTTCTCACATCTGGAAGAAGCAAACAATTTTTTGTTCCTTCCATTCCCTCCTGCCTTTTTTTCAGCACATCATAGCACAGCAATCCTCTGGCATCCTGCTGCCTACACTGACGGATCACAGAAGGCTTAACCCTTCCTGCACTGCAGTGCAAAGTTGTGAGTACCCCTTTTGGGACTTTCCTCGCTTTTTATAGGGGGTGTAAGCCCTGCTGGCTTACACTTGGCTAATACCTAGGCTGCTGTCTCCAAACTGAGTCACTCGGTAATTAATTGCTCTGCTGGCAATTTGCAGGGTTGACAAAGATGACAAATGAATGGTATGACATCTTATGGTACCCTCTGTTCCTTTATATGTTTACTTTAGATTTTAGATCAGAAATGCAGAGTTACTTTATTACCTTATTGTTGTTTCTCCATGTCTTGTTTCAGATGTCTAATCACTTTTATGTTTATTTTCCAGGTACTATTCCCCTGGATATTCTCAGGCACTTCTGGAGAGGGTCGACCATTACCAACCTATCCTTTCCTAAATTTGCAAAATATATATTTTTTATTTACATGCCTGTTTTTATTATTGACACTGAAATATATACTTTTAGAGCAAAATGAACATTCTATGCAGACACTGTTGTGTAAAAAAAACTACAATATTTAATATCTTGGTTTTCTATCTCTAAGTAAAAATATTGTCGGCGAATGAATGTGTCTGTCTGTCTTTATGTCATTCCTCTAGCCCAGCTGGCTGGAGTTGTTCTATTGCAGTGCACTGGTATAATATTGTATCTTACGCTATGTATTATATTGCACTGTATATATATTTTTTTAAGCTTAAAAAAATAATATAGACAAAAATAAAAAACTGATCAAATATTACAGTAATTTGTTTTTATAATTCAACACTGAAATGGGTAAATAGGAATATATTTTAATTAGGGATGCACAGAAATTTCGCCCGCCGAAACATATCAGCCAAAAATTGCACTTTTGGCAAAATGCTGAAAGTGCCATCTTTCGGCCGAAATAGAGGTGCATCCCTGGTTTCTCTCCTCCCCGCTGGGCGCTGCTCTGTGTCCCAGCGGGGAGGAGAGAAAATGTCACAGGAGGCCGAGCGCTGTGGGAGGAGCTGGTCTATGAGCGGCCGGCGTCTCTCCTCCCGGAGACAGCTGTCACAGAGGCCGAGCTCTCCTCCCCGCACTGCCGGCTCACCCTCCTGTGACAGCGGGTCAGGATGGAGAGCGGGTACAAGCAGTCAGTGATCAGTGATCGCAGACTGCTTGTAAATAATTGAGGACATACTGTAGTATGTGTACTGTGTCCCCAATTATGAATGAATGAGAAGTAATCTACATCAACTCCTGATCATTCATGATTGTGGTTATAGTAAACATACTCTGTCATCATGTTATGAATGAACAGGAACACTCCGTATAGAGGATTCCTGTTCATTTATTACAGATGAGAAAAAGAGATTGAGGACTCTGTTTAGACCCCCAATATTTCCCCAGAGCACCCAACAGTAAAGTAAAAACATTAAACTATTTAATAAAAAATAAATAAATGTAAAATATAAAAACACTTTAAAGCTTATAAAAAATAAATACAAATAAAATATTTTTTAAAATGTGAAAAGTTTAGAAAAAAAAACATTTTCAGTTTCGGCCTGACATTTTTTTAAATTTTGGTTTCGTTTCTGTTTTGAACTTTTCATTTCGGTGCACCTCTAATTTTAACGTCTGTTAACAAAATATGCTCAATTGGAATATAACTGTTTTATATGAAACAATTGTTTTGATAGGCAAGTTTATATTGCAGTATTAGCCCCATGCACATAGGCATATGATTTTATATAGGATCTTGGTTGCTAGGGAGCAGCTCCTGACCCTAGCATCCTTGGTTGCTAAAATGCAGGCAGATCATGCCCCTTGGTTGCTACCACGCAGGTGTCTATTCAGGGCCGACATGTAGTGTTTAATCTTCAGCACAGACACCGCTTATTACACATTGTAGATATTTGCATGCTGGTCATAAGCAGCGGTGGCAGCCAATAGAGTACATTTGTGCTGTATCTATGTGAACTTTAGTACAAACATTTATGAATATGCATTTATTTATTTATTGTATTTTTTTAGCACAGACATATTACTCAACACTTTATAGAGTTAGCATAACTATTTACATTAGTTGTTGTCCCCCGCCGAAGAGCTCACAATCTAGTGTCCCTATACCCTCACACACTAGGGCCAGTTTGGGAGGAAGCTAACACTATCAGGGTTATTCACAAAAGGGTGAAGAGTTTGGAGAAGAAAGGAAAAGTGAACAATCTAGGACAACATAGCGGAACTGGAAAGTGAGCTGAATTGGAGAATTTTTCCAGTTCAGCTATGTTGTCCTAGATTGTTCGCTTCTCCTGTCTTCTCCAAACTCTTCACCCCTTTGTGAATAACCCTGTATGTTTGGTTTTGTGGGTAAAAACAAATGTCAATATTCTACACAAAGCAGCACAAGCTCACCTCTAGGGCACATAGAAAACAGTTGGGGTGCTGCTCTACGGAGACTTGAATGTCACTTTGTGACAGTTAAATAAAAAGTTATAAAAAATCAGATAAACAGTGCCTTGCATTGTAAAAACACAATGGACCCATGCCCTAAAACAGCTATTTTAGGCATGAAGGAGCCCTAAATATTATTAAAGCCTTAATCAAACATACCAGCGCTGTTTTCTGCAGTGTTTTTATTTACAATCTGCGTACATGGTATGCACAGAGTATGCTGCCTCTGGTGATTACTGACACAGTTACCAGTCTGCTAATGTCAGCTCTCAACCGATCTTTCAAACCATCAAATGTCTTGAATGTGCAGCACCATGGCAACTGCAGATCTAAATAGAAGCTAAGATGGCACCATCCTCAGTGGTTTGGGGGGTTTAGTTCTACTTATAAAGGAACCTACTGTGAAAGAAATATAGTAACTAATGTTGCTGCAGAAATTAGTGGGTCAAAGGCCATCTGAAGCATGACAGTTAATGGCTTGTCAAAGTGACACTAAACTCGGGAGTCAAATCTTGAAATACATTCAAGTACCTTAACTATTAACAATACTGGACCTTATTTATGTATTACTCGGCTGTAGATCCTCAAATCATCTCTGATTTGGTGATTACACTGTCCTTCCTTCTGGAGTGGTGGCTACTTTTGTCCCCATGGTCCCTGTGTGTGTTTTAAAGTAAACACCACTCCAAGCCCGCTCCCGTGATGTACTACAATCTCACATTTAGTTTACTCCTTTGTATTAAACTTGTAGTCTATCACGGGAGTGAGCTTGGAGCGCGGACTACTTTATAACACAGACAGGGACCATGGTTCCTGTGTTTTTGAATTTTACTTGCATAAGACTGAGGAAAGTGAACACAGCTTCACCTCATTCACAAAGCTAAGTAAAATTTCACTTTGCATTGTGAGCATGCTCTACTCCTTGAGTAAATCAAACTCTTTAGGCTGTGAGAATATTGGTAATACACAGAATGCATTTAACTAACCCATTTATGTTCTTTACCCATTCATGAACAGGCCACTACTTGGACTTCAGGCTGCCTGATCTGCTCATGCTTATTCCAGGTCAGTGACCAACTAGTGAAGGAAGAATAGGGATGACAGTCTTGGTGTATGGACCTTTAGAAGCAAGTCAACATAGGCAGCTGCCATATTTCCATCCTGACTGTTTTCCTTTAACATAACTCTGTCACTGTAAAAAGTTGTTAGCACATATAAAATGTAGGTACCTAGAGGTCAGGAACCGGGAAGTGCCTGAACATACCTGGAGCAGCTCTCCTCCCACTACTACAGCCAAATGCTCTAAACGGTCGAAGGTCTTACACTTCTCTCCCCTCACACACATTCCTATTGATCAGTATGGCGGCCCATGATAGTTGTGGGCCAATAGGAATATGGAAGAGCTGGATGGGAGGGAGTTGGCAAGCTCCGACAGTGCCTGGAGGTGTCAGGACTCTCCATTCAGAAACGCCCAGGATTCAGGCATTGAACAGAGCAATTAAAATTTCTGTGCAGACACCTCTACACTATGGGATGTATTTATAAAACATTTGCAGAGCTGTTCACGCTACAAACGTATGAGTTTTGGAGTCGCAATGCATTATGGCCACTAGATGGAGCCAGGAAGCATAGGGTGTTCCTATCTAGTGGCCATAATAAGCTGCAAATCAAAAATTCAGAAGTTCGTAGAGTGAACTGCTCTGCGAACGTTTAATAAATACACCCCTATATGACTGCTAGGCTAGCAGCTTTCTTTTTCAGGTGACAGAATCAGAGTCATGCACATGTGGAACAATTTAATAACTTTTTACATGTAACTTGGCATGTAAAAAAACAGGCTGGATACAGACAACAAAATATTCTCTAATCTATAGAAGATCATTGGCTATCAGCATCTCTCTCCCTCAGGTCTGGAAATTGATAATTCTAAAGGTCTAGCAGCAGAAACCATAGTAAAGCTTTGTATAGACCAGAGATCTTCTGGAAAGCTTCTTTGTTTCAGCTTTCCAATACCAGATCCCTCTAATATCAATAGTGAATGATGATCTCAGTTTGCTTCGCCCTCTTTTCTCAGGTCTGTGATCATATCCGCTCAGATATTCTGCAGCAGTTGTGGAGCTAAAAGTCCCAGCATGCACTTCTAACCAGCAGAGTTTACAGAGTTTTACTTCACCAATAGCTAAAGAGCAATGGTTGAAGAAGGAGAACTAAAGGATGTGGCTCAGCATTTTCCTCCCACCTCTTATACATTACAGATATCATCCATTACAACAAAGCCCTGTGGTCGTCTATCTGGGTCTTTATAGGACTCTGTGATACCTGGAGAACTGAGACTTTCCTCCTCTTCAAGTAATTATACCTTTCAGTGCTGGCCATTATGAGGGAGATGCGTGTGCCATTTACCCATCCCATTTAGCTTTCACCTCATTTTGGCCCAGAGATTACTTTGACCATTTTTTTATTTTAATGACTTTAAAGGAGAACTATGGGGTTAGGGCTTTTCCTCATAGTTCTCCTAAGGGTAACGGGAGGACACAAACTAGCGTCCTCCCGTCACCCAAAGCTCAGTATACCGCGAGGTACAGCTCGCGGTATACTGAGACGCTGCAGCCAGAACGGATCCCGACAATTCTGTCTGGATCCACCCAGCTGTGTGAGTGACAGCTGGCTCTGCACGGCTCTCTGCACGGGTAGATCGAGAAGTGAGCGAGCGACGGTATGTGTTCGCTCACTTCCCGATCTACTGAGCCGACCTGTGACAGTCTCATTGTCACACGTCGGCTCAGATTATGAGGCTGAGTGAAATGCACTCGCCTCATAATTCTCGTGTAACCACATGCATGAGCTAATGCAATTAGGCTACACCAGAATCTACAGCAAAAATACTTGTGAATGGCGGAGACGGCCATCAAGGCACTTGTCAGGATAGAGATATAAGAGCTGCCACTGCTGACTTGTCTTTCAAGGTGCAGGTTTAAGGGGAGTCATCTTT